AGACTGGGCTACGCCCCCTGGCCCTGCACCGCTTTGTGAGGCGGCACGCGGAGAGGCGGAGTCCAACTGGGTCGGGGCCCCGCCCGTATGCCGGTCCTGCTCCCTCCAACTGGGCCTCGCTTTGTAAGGCTTCAGGCTCCTGGGAAGACCAGGGGTGAGCGGCGGGGCCAGGGCCTGGGACACGCCCCCAGCCTGTGGCTTCCCACCCGCCACCCCAGCCCACCCGGCTGGAAAAACAGTTCTAGTTTTGGGGGAGCCAAAGAAGCTTGCAGTGCGTCCCATCTTCCCCAGCTCCCACCCTTCCCTGTACCTCCTCATTTACTAATTCTGCCCAGTGTCCCTCTGCCCCCAGAACCCATCATTCCATCTCCTGTACTCACCAATGCCGAGACTTAAGCAGAGACGCCACATGGCACTGTACCCTCCGAGCACTCCCATGGGCCTACCCACACACCATCCTGCCACCTGCAGTTGAGGGGTACTCCTCAAACCCACCAGGCATCCAGCGATTGGACCCCAGAAGTCCAGGGCTTGAAGGATTACATTTCACAGAGGCCTTGGGAACAGCTCAACATGTGCTATAATTAATAACTTGGGCATGATAGCAAGGCAGACACACAGAACATACCCCCAGGTACCCTGTGCTCCAAAAACCCAGTTGGGTCGGCCAAGTCAGGTGTGGCAAGGGAGGAGGAAACAGGGTGTGCAGAGAGCTCAGACATCTTGTGGCCCAGCTGGGGTCCAGAAGGGACGCTAACATCTCCTTCCCTGATGATCTGAGAAGTTGAGAATCCAAAGAGAGCCTTCCAGCTTTCTGTCCAGCCTCCGAACCAATGCCCGCAGCCCCTCTCCCACACCTGCTCCTCTGTGAGGAAGGTCCCAAGCCCAGGTGTCCCTTTGTCTCTGTTCAGTTCCCTGAGAAAGCAGCAGCTGGAAACTCCCAGAGTAGCTGAAAAGACCTTGGGATCCCACAGCCTGACCAGTTCACGTGAGAAGGCTGAATGGAGGGCAGAGCATTCAGACGGGTGTGGGGGCGAATCCTCAGCCTCACTGGCAGGCCCGGAAGGTGCTGAATTCAGGGGGCTCAGGCAAGGATGATGTGGAGGTAGGCCTCTTCCGGGGCTGGGAGTTGTCAGAGGTTGCAGTAGAGCCTGAACGAGCATCCAGGGTGGCTACATCTCCTTCTGAGGTCATTTTCTTTGTCCGTGGAAGAAAAATAGAACTGGGTGATTTGAGGTTTTAGGGTCTAGGGTTTCCCCACATTCTGAGCCTGAGACTCCCCAATCCATCAGGTCACCCCACATACACAAATCCCCATAGTTTCAGGGCACTGATCTGCCTTCTGACCTCTTGCCTTCCTCTCTGCTGAACTGGGGACCTGGGTTCAAATCCCAACTCTAGCACTTCCTCATGGTGTGACCTCAGTAGAGTGACTTAACACCTCTGTGCTCAGTTTCACCTTTAGCACGATGGGGAGAATGCTAGTAACCCCCTCCTGGGGTTGCTATGAAGCATAAAGATATTAAATGGTTAAAGCATCTGGCCTATTATAAGTGCTAAATGTTTAAGTGAACAAAGCTATTACTATTATCTCCTTCCCTCCCGTTCTGGGCTCCCTCAAAACCTTCCTCAAAGGTCTACATTCTCCTCTACCTTGAAGGCTCCTGCCCCAAACGTCAATCATAAGGAGATGAGCTTGCTAAAACTGAAGCCACTCCAGGTCTTGCTTTCCTCTAGCTGAGTGACCCTAGTAAGGCCCATAGACAGCTTCAGTCTTCTTGTTTGTTTAAAAAAAAAAAAGCCACATCTCATAGGGTGTTACAAAGTAAGTATTAGACCCTCAGTAGAGTAACACAGTACAAGCTAGAGACCTGACAGCTGCTTCATTTTCATTTCAGCCAACAGCACAGCTTTCTAACACTTCAAAAAGAAACTAGAATTGAAGGCAAGGACTTGAACAGATGCTTGCACACCCATGTTCATAGCAGCATTATTCACATTATTCACAATAGCCAAAAGGTGGAAGCAACCCAAATGTCCATCTATGAGTGCCTGGATAAACAAAATGTGGAGTATACATACAATGGAATATTATTCTGCTTTTAAAAGGAAGGAAATTATGATGCATGTTACAACATGAATGAACCTTGAAGATATTGTGCTAAGTGAAGTAAACCAGACACAAAAGGATGAACGTTACATGGTGTCATTTCTATATAAAATGTCTGGAAAAGGCAGATCTACAGAGACAGAAAGTAGAATGGTGGCTGCCAGGGGCTAGGGGGAGGGAAGACCGAGGAGTTAGTATATAGTGGTACAGAGTTTCAATTTTCCAAGACAAAACCTGGAGATAAATGGTGGTGATGGCTGCACAACAACTTGAATGTACTTGATGCCACACCTAAAAATGGTTACAATGGTACATTTGTTACGTCTGTTTTACCACGATTAGAAAAAAAATAAAACTAGAAAAGATCACTAGAATTTACTGTTAAGGAAAAGAGGCACCATGCACAGCAGTGTGGATAGCATGCTACCGTTTGTATTGAAAACGGTGAATGTACAGATTTGCTATTTTCACCTTTGCTTGCATTATGCAAGAAGCTTCTAACAGTGGTTACCTTTGTGTGTGTAGAGAGGGAGACCAGTGGGTGGAAGAGGTTTAAATGATAGAAGAAAATACTACTATGTATATATAATTTGACATATGGATGTATTTCATGTTCAAAAATTTTTTAATTAAAAAAATACATATATATGTATTTTTATGTATATGTATTATGTATATATGTATTACCAAGACTAATATACTGAAAAATAAGTTGTTTTTCTGTTTCCCATTGCTTCATTTTAAATATCTTTTTAAAAAAGGAAAAATCACCAGGCTGGTGCCTTGAGCCTTGTGGCTTCTCACCAAAAGTTTTAGAACTTTAGAACTTGCCCTGCCTACTGGCTTTTTCTTAACAACACAGGTTTGCTTTCTGAGCAGAGACCTCAGAGGGTTGAACAGCCCAGTGCCAAGCTTCCTCCTTGCCACCATCTGTATACCAGTGACAGGAAACCAGTTTAAACTTCCCTGCTCTTCTCTCCGAAACTCCAGACTCATGTCTCCATCTTCTCTTGGGCATCACCCTGTCGAATAGCCCATCCCTTGTTCCCTCAAGCCTGCCCCTCTCCAGGACTCCTCCATGCCTCTTTCTTCTCTAATCCAAAATCAGTACGGTATTTCCTATCTGCTGAATCTACCTGGCCTGCATCTGTTTGCTTCTTGCATCTCTGCTGCCAATACGGTGGATCAAACCATTTCACGTACTTGGACCAGTACAGTTTATTTGCACCCCCCAAGTCTGTCCTCCGCGCAGCCGCCAGAGGACGCCTGTGAGCACCTGACTAGGTTACGTCCCTCCTCTGCTCTGAACCCTCCATGGCTTCCACCTCACTTGGGTAAAAGTCAAAGTTCTAGCCAGGGGACCCCCTCGACTCTTCACTTGCTCCACCCCCGTTATGTGGGCCGTGCCAAGAACGTGTCTGGAGCCTGGATCAATATTCTGCAACTACCTCCTTCCTGCCTGTCTCCCTTCTCTGAGATGTTTTGGATCTCTTATCTAAGTGAGAAGTGGGCTTCTTGGTCACTCCTTGCCCATGTGGCATCGTCTGTCTCCCCCCATAGGATTAAGAAGCTCTGAGGGAGTGATTGCCTTGTCTTGTTCTTATCCAGACACCCAGGAAGGGTGTGTTGACCAATTTAATCCTTCCCCCCACCACCTGCATTCCCCATCACGATGCCCCTTGCAGACCTACTCTGTCCCAGGTGCCCTGATGGCAGTCCTGAAGCATCCACTTGTCCAAATAGGACATCTGAGGCCACCTCGAGTGGGGATACCTGCACCCCTGACCTGTACCCCTCTCCATGTAGAGAGGAATGGCTGAACATTTTTTTGATCCATGGTGTCCATGGCTCAGATATCTCTAATTTAGTAAAAAGAAAAATAAAGTAATAAAGTACAAAGACCAAGACCACCCCAAGATGCAAGATGCAGAAGAGTCCTATAGATCTGGGATCAAATCCCAGCCCGGATGTGTGTTCTCTGAGGGAGCAACACCCCCTGATAAGGGGTGTGTGTGCAGTGAGACCTTCCCCACTAAAAGAGAAACACATGACTGGGACATTTAAGCTAAAGTTCTGGAAAGTGAACACAAAAAGAGGCTTTTATTTATACCAAGAGAGGGATGGTGGTGATGGTTGCACAACGATTTAAATGTACTTAATTAATCGGATTGTCACAAGGTTTCACGACCCCACAAAAGCTACCGGGTCACCCTGAGTCCCCTCTGTCACCATTCTGGGAAGTTGGCCTGACTAAATGCAAAGGCAGCGCTGAACCCGACAGCAAGCACCTCCAGGGTGTGGCCGGCCCATTGCCACATGAAGGCCTGGATGTGGCCACCTTCAATCCCCTAGGACCTCTCAGAGCCAACTTTCAGCTCACAAACAAATCTCTGCTCAGTGATTCTGGGGTTTTCTCAGACCCCCGAAGCTCAGAGACCCCCACCTCCCTAGGGTTAGGACAGTCAGCAGAAACCCGGGATCAAGAAATGAAATGACTTACGGTAGAGACGGTAAACAGTGAGTTATCGAATGACATATCTGAAAGAGAAAGAGAAAGGAAAACCAAGACTGGGACCAGTTTAAATTCCCTGCTCACTGCCCTCTTCCAAGCCCAGCGGCCCAATGTCAACCTTGAGGAAAGGGACAGGTCCATCTCCCAGCATCTTCTTTGCTCCCTTCCAGCCCATTCTGCAGGGTGAACCATTTACAACAGAAAATTGCGTCATGTTCCTCTTCAGCTCCTAGCCCTCCTTCAGCAGCTTCTCGTTGTCCTCCAGAAAATGGGTCCCTCATCTCAACTCCCGCTTTCTGGAACACCACCCTAAGCTCTCCCCAAAGCGCCTCCTGCATGTCTTACACATCACTTCTTTGGGGGAACCACCGCCTAGCTCCAGACAAGTCCAGATGTCCATCGGTTGCTTCCCCGCTGGAATGTAGGCTTGTGGACAGAGACCACCTCTGTCTTGGTCATTGACAGAGACCCCATATCTCAACACATAGTGGGTGCTCAACAAATATGTGGGAGAGTGAGGGAAATACAGAACAGACTTTCCTGTTTGGGGCCCTTCCTGAGCATCTCATATCACGGACTGGCTGCTCCTCGCCCCCTGGTGGAAGCCAGCAGAATGACACATTTGGACCACAAGTGAAGCTCCATTTAAGGACCCTGCCCTGCACTGTGAAAGCACCCGCATGCTCCAGTGGACAAGACAGACACAGTCCGTTCCCCCTGGAGCTGACCGTCCAGCGGTGGAGGCAAATATTACATACACAACAGGCAATGATTACTTGACTGTGTTTCTACTGAGGGGTAGGAATGACAGGGTGCCTGCCAGGGGTATGTAAGTAGAAAGTGCAGACCCTGTCTAGGGAGTCAGGGAAGGCTTCCTGGAGGAAGTGACTTTCAGACTGAGACTGAAAGAAAGAAGAGTACTCTAGGCAGAGGGCAGAGTGTGTGGAAGGCCTGAGGAGTGGGCAAGGAGAGAAGGTGAGAGATGAAACCTAGAGCTGGAGGGGAGCAAAGGAAGGGAGAAGGGTGTGTTTTTGATCCTAAGAGAAATGATCAGCCCCGGAAGGGGTTCAGTAGTCAGCAGTGAGGCCCGATGGCATTCTGAGGGAGTGACCCCGCCGGGGGGTAGGAGAGAACAGGAGCGAAGAGGAGGCACAGACCTGTGGTGGTGAAGTCAATTTGGGCCCAGCACGATGCTCGCTCTCTGCAAAGGGGTTTGGAAAAGAGTGATGACTTGCTTATCTCAGGCAGGAGGCTTGTTCCAGGCTCCCAACTTGACCTTCACTCCCCATCCACCCTCAAAACCTCCCTAAATCTTCTCAGATGAAAATTCTCTTGTAGGAACCCCACAAGCCAGATGAAGTCAGGATTAGATCCCAGGGCTGCTGTGACCTCTCCGCCACTAGGCAGCAGGGTGTCCCTCTTCTCTCAGAGGGCAGAAACCGAGGCCAGGCCCAGCTAGGACATCCTGGTGTCCAGGAACCAGGGCATCAGATTGGGCACTGCACAACCCCAGGGGATGCCACTCACCTCCCCCCACTGTAGATTTCTAGAGTGATTAGACAATTTCTGGCAGCCAGCAGTAAAAGGATGTGCAGGAGCCACAGCCGTTTGCTCCCTGTGTGACTGAGTGCTGTGCCTGTCACCTCGTCTGTAAAATGGGGCAATTTACAGTGCCCACTTCCAGGGCTGCTACGAGCTTACAGGAGTTCCAGCTGCAGCATCTCCTAGGGCAGTGCCCCGCACACCTGTTCCTATTAAGCAGCCTGCCCTTCAGAGGGTGCTGTTTGGAGCGGCACTCCCACCCAGCTAGGGAGGTGCCCTTCTGTTCCCAGAACCTGGCCAGCTCTTAGCGTCTCAAACACTTATCAGGAACTCCTGCCCTGTAACTGAGTATTTCTTTTCCCCCAAACCACCTTCTGAGGGTCTCCAGGGATGGTCTCACCTTTTCTTCTGCAATTGTTTTACTTTAACTGGGGACAAAAAAAAAAAAAAAAAAAGCATTTGTTAGATTTTGGTCCTGTGTGCATCCTGTGTGAAAGCCAGGAAATCAAAAGCCCCCTCAGACATTTGCAACCCAGCTTTGCCTCCTCTCCCGAGAGCTACTGCAAATATTTATCTTCTCCAAGTACATGAGTAATATGTGTTGGTAAAAACTTCATACAAGGTGCAAACACACACAAAAAACAATTTTTTAATATTCATTTCAGTGGGTATCCAGGGCTGGAGGAGGAGGATGGGGAGTTAGTGTTTAATGGAGGCAGAGTTTCAGTTTGGGAAGATGACAGAGTCCTAGAGATGGATGGTGGTCATGGCTGCACGATAATGTGAATATGCTTAATGCCACTGAGCTGGACACTTAAAAAGGATTAAAAGGGTAAATTTTGTGTCATGTATATTTTACCACAATAATATATGTGTGTGTGTGTGTGTGTGTGTGTGTGTGTGTGTGTGTGTATCACTTTCCTCTGCCTACCACCATCATCATACTTCTGGAAGGTTCTTCACTGCTAAGTTTTGGAGTAAAACCTCCCAACTCCATGCTCCTAAACAATAGGTGTGACTGGGAGCACGTTTACACGTTCTGGGGGGTGGCATGCCAAAGCCCATAGATCATGCTTTCTTTGCCTGCTGTTACCTTTCCTGATCAACATGGCAATGGCTATCATCCCAGCAATGAGGAAGACTCCAGACAGGCTCAATGATAATGCCAGGATCCAAGTGGGCACTAGAGGAAAATGGGAAAAGAGAGAGTGGACAGCTCATGGAGTTGTGACAGGAAGGAGGTGGGACAGCTACCATTCCTCCAGGTTATCTTGGGGGAGCCAGCCTACCTCCTATAACCCCCAACTATCTGGCTTGGATGCAGCTGGACCTAGGGACCCAGCAAACTTTGTGTCTAGCCATTTAGCATATTTCCTCCCACTGGCCCTTGTGATTGGCTCAGGAATGGGCATGTGACCCAAGATGAGCGAATGAGAGCTAATTCTGGGACTTTGGATAAGCCCCTGGAAAGAGAGGTTTACTACCCTGGCCAGTATTACCAAATTGTTAGGATATACATCTGGAGCTGCTGGGCAAAATTTTGCCACCATGGCAGGCAAGGCTTGCCTGAGAATAAGCCACAGAAGAAAGCAGAATTGAGAGGTGGCAAATAATTCCTGACACCTTTGGGCACCTGGATCCAGCCATGCCTGAAGTCAGTGCTGTGAACTGACTTCAGTTCAGTGAACCAACAATTCCTCTTTTGTTGTTGAAGCCAGTTCGAGTCAAGTTTTCAGTTACTTGTGGCCTGAAGAGTCCTGCTGGCTTCAGCCTGGCTACCAGGGGATCAAAGGATATCCACCCCCAGCCACACCAGGGACCCCAAGACCCACGCAGAGGTTAGCCATAGAAGCATAAAGCTCTAGCTAAGCCAGGAGGGAGAAGGAGAGACACACACTTGGTATTCTCACAGTGTTAGCCCTTGTTCATTCATTCATCTGGGGCAAGAAGAGGGTTGTCACCTCCCGCACTTGGAGACCACAGAACCAAGGTGAAAGAAGGGGCCTTTGATAGTGGAACTTGGGGCCAGGGAGGATACAGAGACTGTTCTGTCACCACAACATGTGAGCCTCTGCTGGCAACAAAATTCTCTTTGCAGCTAGGAAGTTTGGATTGCTCCACTTGGAGGCTCCACCTGGAGGCTCCTCCCTCCCTCCTGCTCCTTGATCCAGAGCCCACACCCACCCCCTGTCCTGGAAAGACCACCGAAAGACAGCGGGTCTCTCCTAACTCTGTCCCATTCCGAAAAAAAGCCAGAGTCCTTGCTGTAGCCACAAGGCCCTGCATGATCCTTTTTGCCACCTTCTTGCCCTTGTCTCACCCCACTTTCCTCCTGCCTCCATGTTTTTCAAACATACCACGTGCACTCCAGCCTCAGGGCCTTTGCACAGCCTGCTCCTTCCTCCTTGAACCCTCCTGCCCCAGATACCCATATAGCTGGCTCCATTTCCTTCAGGGGTTTGCTCAAACATCACCTCCTCAGAGAGGTCTTCCCTGGCCACTCTCCATGTATTTAAGATGACACCCTTCACCAGACTGTATTTCAGCCTTGGCACATTACTTGTGCTCCTGATGGCAGACTGAATATTCATTGGACTCCTCGTTTTTTGTCTGTCCCATCCCCTCGGGCCATCAGCTGTGAGGGCAGGGATAGATCCTGTACTGCTAAGGACAGTGCCTGGCGTGTAGCAGCTGCTCAAAAATGTTATGTGGTCAGGAGGGGAGGGGGCAGCAGAGCATGGGGGTTTAATGCCTGGACTCTGGAGGCTGATTGAATCTCAGATCTGTTGCCTGCTAGCTGTGTAACTTATGCAAGTCCTTTCATCTCTCCTGTCTTGATTTCCTTATCTGCAAAAGGAGGACAATTGCTGTACCTGTTGCATGAGGTGACTGTGAGGATTAAATAAGGAAAGGTGAATAAGTCCTGACAGCTTGGAAGCCTGGCTCATCCTGTGACAGCTTCCAGAGTGAGGGCCAACGGGAGGGCCTTACCTGGGAAGGAGATGTACACGGGCTCACTGAGGTCCGACAACTGAGGTTGTCTGTGCTCGCCCAGCACGCTGTACTGGCAGTGGAATGTCCTCCCCGCCGCCTTCCAGCTGCTGCCACTCAATTCGAAGGTGACCCTGTGCTGGTCTGGAGGGGCCTGCATGAGCTGGACCACATGCTCCCCTTGGTACAATGTGAAATTGGCCCCTAGGAAGCCCCTGGGGGCCTTGCATTCAATGTAGACGGGGGCCTCTTGGCTGCTGGGGTATGGGGGCACCAGTAGGATGGACGGTGCTTGGATCGCCATGGAGCCTGCAATGCAGAATAAGGGAGGTCGAGTGGGTGGGTAGTTAGAGCGGAGGTTGATATGGCTGTATCCTTGAGTAAGTGGCTCACCCTCTCTGGGCCTTGGTTTTTATGTACTACTGGAGACTAGTCATCCCTACCCCATTGCAATGTTGAGGGAATCAAGTGTTTAGCACATGGTGAAGGGTCTCTGGATTTGAGTCATGTTATTATAATAGCAAGGTTGTTACACAGCTTGAAGAAAGCCTTCCAGGCAGAGGGGACAGCATGGACAAAAGCTGCGTTGGATATTCAAGGAGGCCGGGGTGGCTGGAGGGAATGAGAGAGGGGGAGAGCAGGAGAAGGGGAAGACAGAGGGGATTCTATCTTTCTTCCCGGGCTGCGGCGAGGAATATGAATGTCAGGGTTTGGTTTTGTGCAGGAGGGCCAGCTACCCGAGGCTCCTGAGCAGAGTGTCTAGCTCAGGTGAGGTCTACACAAGCCTTCCCCTTATCCCCCAGCAGATCTGCTTTCCTGGCCCTGGAGGGGGGAGCCGCAGAGCCCAAGCAGGCTGAGTCATGGGGTGTGGGCACTGCTGTCTCCAGTGAGGTGACATTTCTGATACCCATAATGTGGGAGTAATGAGGAGCCCAAAAGAGAAAGCCATTCTCTTAGGGCATTTCCAAGGCTCTGGGGCAAATCTGTGAGGGCTCAGCCTCCTCTAGTACCTGGAGAGGGCAACCCTGCACTGGTTTCTGCCTCAGAGCAGAGGCCAGGCCAGATGGGTGGATGTGGGGGTGGGGGGTGGGTGAAGCAGTGCAGGGGTGGTGCAGGGGTGTCAGGCTCACCGGCTGCAAAGAGCAGGACAGTCCAGGGCATCACTCCTCCTGCGTTTGGCCAGGCAATCTGGCTGAGGCCAGCATGGCCCATGGCTCACAAACCCTCCTGTGAGGCCAGAGAAGGGAAAGGAGAAGCTGGGCCAATTTGAGTCAAGTGTTTCCTCACTGGCAGGAAGTTGCGTACAGATTCGGGTGCTGAAAGGGACTCTCTCTTCTCCCCACCCCTTCCATGGGCGCACATCAGACCCTGGCATCTCTCTGTGCCATGGTTGGAGGGACAAACAGATAAGATGGTTGGGGGTGTTTAGTTTTTTCTAACACTGAGAAGACTCCTGGGTATGAGGAAGGGTAAGGACTGTGGGCTGCTTGGGAAACTCATACCGCAGACACACACCGCAGCCTGACCAGTGCCAAAGTTGATACACATGTTGGGCACAGAGTGGTAGGGCATGGTGGTTAGGGCTTGACCTCTGTGACCTCAGGCAAGACATGGTCCTTCTTTGAAGCCTCATCTTGCTGCCCTTAGAATGGAGCTAAGAGGAGCAGACAGAAGATTCAAAGAACCCACGGTATGAGGTGCAATGCCTAGTGGGGTGGGAGTACTACTCTCCAAGTGAAGCCACAAGGAAGAAAAGCCTCAGGAGCTTCACCAGGTAGGCGAAACACTAGCTCCAGAACTGAGGCAGTTTTATACATTGCAGGATAGATTGCCTCCCATTTACATCCCAGAAACTTCTACAGGTCTATCTGACTAGTAGGTTTCGTTTGTTCTGTTTCGGTTCAAATCAAGCAGGTCCACCTGGAGGTTTCCCCTCAGGAAGGATGTAAGCCTGTGGTCATCAAACACCAAAAAGGGTCATTAGACTTTTTCCTTTGGGCACGTGAAGTGCACTTTAACCTCAGGGCTTTTGCATGTGCCATCTCCCTTGCCTGGGACACAATTCTATCATTCTGATCAAATCTCATTTCTCCTTCAGGTATCTGCATAAATATTACTTCTGGGAAATCTTTCCAGATCCTTCTGGACTTAGAAGAATCCCCTTGCTTAATTCTTTCATAGTGCCTTGTAATTTTCTTTTATTACAATTAGCATGCTTGTTATTTCCAAGGAATTTGTCTATTTCATCTAAGTTATTGAACTGATTGGTATAAAGCTGTTCATAGTCCCTTGTCATCCTTTTAATGTCTGTAAAGTCCGTAGTGATGTCCCCTCTTTCATGTCTGATGATGGCAATTTGTTTTCTCTCTTTTTCTCCTTGATTAGTCTTGCTAAGGGTTAGTCAGTTTTATTAACCTTTTCCAAGTACTAACTTTTGACTTTGTTGTTTTTCTCTATTTTCTGTTTCCTATTTCTTTGTTTTTGGGTCTTATCTTTCTTTCTTCTATTCTTGCGTCTAAGTGTCTCTTCTTTTACTAGCTTCTTAAAAATTTATCTTCTAATATAAGCATTTATACCTATACATTTCCCTCTAAGCACTGCTTTATATCTCACACATTTTGACATATTGTGCTTCATTATTATTCTTAAAATTTTTATTTCCTTTGTGAATTTTTTCTATGATCCATAAGTTATTTAGAAATGTGTTGCTTAATTTATAAATATTTGGGCCTTTTCGATAACTTACTGTTAGTGGTTTTTAACTCTTGTGGTCAGAGAATATACTCCATATAATTTCAAGCCTTTGAAATCTGATTTTTTAATGGCCCACCATATCCTGATTCATATTTTATGTGCAGTTGTTTGATATAATATTTTGTAAATCTCAATTAGATGAGGCCGAAGCGGTTCACAGAACATGCTTGAATTGATTGAATTCATTCAGTCATCTCTCTCCAGAAGCACAGGAATGGGGTCCTTGCTGTCTCCTGTGATGCCCACCACAGTGCTTGGCACATGGTGAACCATAAATATCTCGATTGTCTGACCTGAAAGCCAAAAAACACTCATTCAGTCTATCTTTGTGGCTCTCTCCTATGTGTGTAAGAGAGAAAGTTGGGAGATTCCTTCCAGATAACTGACTCCAAAAGCCTGAGAAGGAGACAGAGGAAGGGCATTCTAGGTAGAGAGAAAAATATATAGGAAAGGCCCTGATGTATGTAAGGACTTCATCCTGGGAGCATTTAATATGGTATAAGAATCTGTAACCTGGAATTCCGAGTTCAGAAAAACAGCCACACAAGCCCGTATTGGTCAGCTGTCCCGCAGCTATTGCCCTGAGGAGTCACCAAGGAATGGTGACTATTGGGGATCTGGGAGCTGTTACCAGCCCAGACCTGAAGTTGTTGGGGAGAGTGCTGGAGTCGCAGGCTTTGGTAGAGATACGCAGATCAATAAGGTGGGAGCCAGCAGATATATATCTAAACCTTCCTCTCCTCCAGGCCTTGGATCTCCTGCCAGGTTGAGCCAGTGTACAGAGATCAACCTCCAAGGGCCTGGAGTGGTGCAGGGAAGGATGGAGAACAACTCCGGTGGGGAGCATACAAAGACTGCCCAAGCACACTCTTGGAATCTTTTGATGATAATCTCAGGGGATCCCTGACCTCCAGAAGCCAGTTTGCAAACTCCCCCGTGTTGTAAGAACCCCAGGCTAAGATTCTAGGCCAACGCTACAAAGGGAAGAGGGACCCTACATGATGTGGCCTGTGCTGACTGCTCCCATCCCTTTTCAAATTACTCCTCTCACCCCCATTGCCCCTTTACCTCCTGTCTGCCCCTTGAAACTTCTCAGTGCCTTCTGACCTCAGGGCACTATTCTCTCTGTTCACCTCCTCCTGTCCCTTCTATTTCAAGTCTGAGTTCCAATGCCACCTCTTCAGGGAGGCCTTCCCTGATGCCACCCAGGCTAAATGAGCCACCCTACCTATAACCTGACATTTTACTTCTTAGCGCCTATGACTACCTGAAATCATCTTGGAGTGACACTAAGATGACAGCTCCACAAGGACATGGACAGGGTTTTTTTATTGACAGGGTCAAACTTCGGTAAATATTTGTTGAAAATGGGGGAGGAGGAAAAGTTTTAATTTTTGTTTAATCAAGAGAAATAAGAATCACCCATCAAGCCCCAGATGCCAGTGGAAATGGAGGAGTCAGTAGCTTCAAGGGCCCGTCCCTCCAGAAACATTGACCAATGAAGCACAAACAGGATCAACTTTATCTGAACTCTGGAAAGGAGCCAAAGGTTTATGCCAACCAAGCAAAGGCTCAATGAGGAAAAAGGCAAGGTGAACATGGCAGGAAAGCTTTCTGGTGTTTCCCCTGCCCTTCCCTCATCTCCTTCCCCAGCATGGCAGATCTTGAAGACCTGTGTCTTCATAGCAGCCTGTGTTCCCAATATAGGGGTCTGGTCTCTGGTTCCTGAGAGAGCACAGCAGCCCTCAATCTGATGGTACTGTGTTTGTCTGTTCTGACATATCTCAGGGCTACCTGCAGGAATGACTCCAGATACTTGTCTGACTCAGAATGCACTCCTAGAAGACACTGTAAGGCAAAGGAAGACCCACAGCCGCCTGGGGCAAAAGATTACAACTGAGAACAATGATAGATATGCCAAGAGCCGTGAGGAAAAGCTGGAGTGAGAGTTGTTTTGGGTTATTAGAGCATTCGAAAGCACCTATATATACCAGGGAATTTAGAAAGCAACATGCATGTCCAGGACAGGACAAATGCTCAGGAAGATAAGCTTTCACTTCTGGTTGATCTCTAGGTTCAGCGCAAACAGGAAGCAAAGGTTAAGGCAGAGTTGGAAACGCCCTGGCAAAGTGAAGGAACGCTTCATACATCTGCAGAGTGGGAAAGGTTTTCCACTGTTTCTTTTTCTTCCTTTTCTCTCCACAATATATAGTTAACTCTTATAACAACCTGATTTTAAAATGAGCATAAAACTTAACTAGACATTTCTCCAAAGAAGATACACAAACGGCCAAACAGGATGCTCAACATCACTAGGGAAATGCAAATTAAAAGCACAATGAGACATCACTTCACACCCATTAGAATGGCTATAATAAAATTAAAATAGAAAATAACCAGTGTTGTCTACGCCCATGCTACCCTGAACAAGCCCAATTCCATCTGATCTTAGAAGCTAAGCAGGGCCAGGCCCGGTTAGTACTGGGATGGTAGACCACCTAGGAAGACCAGGTGCTGTTGGCATAAAAAAAAAAAAATAAATAAGAGATTGTAAGCTGACAAGGTCCTTGCAATCTGTGAGGTCAACCAAGGGTTGCCTCGCCTAAAAAATAAAATTAAAAAGAACCAGTGTTGACAAGGATGTGGAGAAACTGGAACCCTCATACATGATTGGTGTGAATGTAAAATGGTGCACCCATTGTGGAATAGTTTGGCAGTTCCTCAAAAAAGTTAAATGCAGAATTACCATATGACCCAAAAATTCCACTCTCAGGTATATGCCCCAAGGAATTGAAAGCAGATACTCAAACAACTATACATACACACATGTTAATAGCAGCATTATCTACAATGGCCAAAATGTAGAAACAGCCCAAATGTTCCTCAACAGATGACTAGATAAACAAATGGTGATATGTCCATATAATGGAATATCATTTGGCCAAGAAATTAAATACCGATATATGTTATGATGATGAACCTTCAAAACATTGTGCTAAGTGAAATTAGCCAGACAAGAATGGTCACATACTCCACTTATAAGAAACATCCAGAATCAGTAAATCCATAGAGGCAGATTGGCAGTTGCCAGAAGCTGGGGTGAGAGGGGGAATGAGGAAAACTGTTTAATGGATACAGGGTTTCCTCCTGGGCTGATGAAAATGTTTTGGAAGTAGGTAGCAGTGGTGAAAATGCACAACACTGTGAACATATTAAATGTCACTGAATTATTCACATTAAAATGGTTAACTTTATGTAATGTGAATTTTGCTTCGTTAAGAACACTTTAAAAAATCACCCATTCTCCACACTTACTTTGAAATGTCCAAGCAGAGTTAGAATGATAGAAAAACTTCGAGTGAAGCAAAATCCCAAACATGACTGTACATGAACTTTGACATTACAAAGTGATGTTACTTCCTCAGGTTCTCCAAATACAGGAACGGAAAGACACCAGCTGTATTTGAAAAGTAATTGTCACCATGTGCCAATCTCTCCCAGGCCTATCTTTAAAGACTTAAAGGTTCTATCTAAACATTTTTCGTGTTTAGACGGAATCTCCACACAAGAGTTCATTTCTCCAATGACTTCTTTATCTGTTTCCCCGAGGGAGGTCGCTTTCAAATCCTCTAAGCCAGACTGAGGGAGAGACTAAATGGTTGGATGATAAATCTGGAATACAACAGCTATTTACTGAAGGACTAAAATGTGCCAAGCACTGAACAAGCATTATCTCATTTAATCTTCACAACGGCCTGATGAGGTAAGGCCCAGCAGTGTGACTGCCTTAAGTAAAGGGTAGGGCATGGTTTGAACTAGGCAACCTGGCTCCTAGGCCCACACTCTTCACCTTTTCTCTGCTGACTCTAAGCACCTGGGCTGTCGTTTTTCTTATCCTGGGCCACTGCAATCACTCTGCTTATCTGCTGGCCCGAGTTTGAGACCCTTGGGCTACCGGGTGGGGCCACGCCTCTCTACTGACCCTATGCGAGGAAAACCGAACCTTATGGGGCAGGTCTCACTTCAGTCGATTCTCATCGTTCCCAACTTACAGATGAGGACACTGACAGAGTAATGGTTCTAAGGCGCAAAGGGAACGCGGGCTCACAGCCCAGCGGCAACGCGACGACCCCGTTAATACGCAAAGGTCTCCGCCGCGCTCAATGTGAACCTTCCTATACGTTGGCCCTAAGGGTCTCGAGCAGGGCCACAACCCCCCTATATTTTGGCCCGACTCCACCCAGACTGGATCACCAAACGGTCAACACGCGCGGCGTACTCTGGGAAAACCGCACGCTGTGCTTTAGGACCCGGCCGCCTCCATCTTAGTTGTCTTAACGTTTGCCTGAGAGGAACGCGCCATCATGGTACTTATTTTTATCATTTTCCTTCACCAGCAATTGAGACTAGAATTGGAGGCCTTTCAGAAAGACGACCCTAAAAGGCTGAACTTTTTCGGGGACATCAGGGATTCATTAGGGCAACTCTCAGGGGTTCCTTCACTCCCGCCGGTTTCCGACAACGGGCAGAAGCGGCTGCCAATGAGCTCCGCCGAGCAACAGAGGGGGGCAGGGCTAGCCTTTAAAGGAGCCGCGACCCGTTAGCAGACCGGAGGGTGACCCGGATGATGGCGGCCAGCGCGGCCCTAGCCTGGGCACTGTGGCTACTACTGCCGTCAGTGGGGGTGGGAGGGGCAGGACCCCCACCGATCCAGGACGGCGAGTTCACGTTCCTGCTGCCTGCCGGGAGGAAGCAGTGTTTCTACCAGTCCGCGCCGGCCAACGCAAGCCTCGAGACCGAGTACCAGGTAGAGGAACCTGGGCCGCGTAGCGAGCGTAGGCAGGGGAGAGGGCGTGGCCAAGCCCCTACGGCGAGGCTCGCGTTAAAGATAGGGGGAGGAGCCCGTGCGTAAAAGAGCGGGGGCGGAGCTCGGGAGAGGGAGAGGGAGGGGGCGGGGACAGCGCATGGGAGCGGGAGGGGTGGGAGAAATGGAAGGCGGGGCTAGAGTCAGAAAGCCGGAGGGTGGAGCCATCGGGAAGAGGGAACTTTAGTGTCGGACCGTCGGGAGTGGGCGTGGCCAAAGGGTTGTGTCGGATTGAAGCGATGGTGGGCGTGACCGGGATGCGCTAGGAGAAAGGGCGTGGCCACCACGAGGATTTCTCCAGGCTGGGGCTGGACCCAGTCGTCTCAATTGAGGCGTGGCCAATGAGGGGCGTGGCCAGGTAATCGTTGATCAAGGACTCCGATGGGGTACTGACCAGATGAACGCCGATGCCAAAGCTGTCGTACCAGTTGGGGTGGAGCTAAGGCTAGGGTCGCGACCCGAAGGACGGGTGGGGGCAAGACCAGGTTGCGGGTGTAGGCGTCAGTGCTCAGGTAGGCGCCTGGTGGTCTGTATGGGTTTGTGCGGGTGGTCCAGCCCTGGCATTCTTTGACGTGTCCTTGGTCTACCCCCTACTCCTCTGCCCGCTCTTACCTGCCCCCAGGTGATTGGAGGTGCTGGGCTGGATGTAGATTTCACTCTGGAGAGCCCTCAGGGCGTGCTGCTGGTCAGTGAGTCTCGCAAGGCAGACGGGGTGCACACGTGAGTTAAGTCCCGCTGCTTGCTGGGGTTGGGTTTCAGCCCTACCCATCCCCAGCGGCCTCGGGTTACCTCCCTGTCTATTCTCAAAGTCAGGCTGGCCGGCCATTCAGGGTCATGTCTGTCTGTCCAGGGTGGAGCCCACGGAGGCTGGGGACTACAAGCTGTGCTTTGACAACTCCTTCAGCACGATTTCTGAGAAGCTGGTGTTCTTCGAACTCATCTTTGACAGCCTGCAGGATGATGAGGAGGTTGAAGGCTGGGCAGAGGCCGTGGAGCCTGAGGAGATGCTGGATGTCAAGATGGAGGACATCAAGGTGCGCCTAAGCTGAGCTGGGGCCACGCTTCTCAGATCTCTGGCATTGGACAGCAGTGTGCCCCTGCCCTCTCGCCTTGGCTGGGGTCCTCCTTGGCCTCACCTAGCCTCCCCTAGTAGCAGGTGCCCCCAACTTTATTAAACAGTAGCAGCTCAGTTCAAAATAGTACATTTCTAGTGTAAACCGTTTTTAAGGGCTTAAATAACTGATCAAACCTCCATAACCACCCTATGAAGTAGGTAGTGTGCTCTAATTATCTCCCATTCTGTCGAGGCACAGGATGGCTAAGTAACTGTCCTAAGGCCACACAGCTAGCAACTGGTAGGGTCAGTATTCAAACCTAGGCAGTCTAGCTTCAGCAACTGTGCTGTTAACCACTAGTAACAGCTTTCTTTATACTTATTTAAGCATTCAGTTCTAACAGCAATTCTGAGGGCCTTGAGGCCCACAGAGGTTAACTTGTTCATGGTCACACAGCCAACGAGTGGCAGAATGAGGATTTAGACTCAGGCACGCAGTCTGGTCAGAGTTTGGTTCTCAGCTCTCTTCCCCAGCAACATGGATTCTCACCCCATTTTCCCAGTTTTATCGGTGTCTGCTCCCCAAAGGACAGAGGCCTGACTTTGCCCCTTCCTGTGCGTCACAGGAGTCTATTGAGACCATGAGGATCCGGCTGGAGCGCAGCATCCAGACGCTGACACTGCTGCGAGCATTTGAGGCACGTGACCGCAACCTGCAGGAGGGAAACCTGGAGCGGGTCAATTTCTGGTCAGCTGTGAACGTGGCTGTGCTGCTGCTGGTGGCTGTGCTACAGGTCTGCACACTTAAGCGCTTCTTCCAGGACAAGCGCCCCGTGCCTACGTAGCCCTTGCCTGACAGAAGAACAGGGAAAAGGAGTGGCAGCAGGGCGCATGCATGTGAGACTTGGGGGTCCCTTCCCCAAATTAGTTTCCTGCAGGAGGGGAGGTTGTGCAGTCTGGGCCTGAGGTATGGCCCTTATACGTGTCTGCTCTTCCAGGCTGGGAACACTGGCTGGCTTGCAGGTCTGGGCCATCCAGAAGGGGTGGCTCAGTGGTTGTACCTACTTTCCTGGAAATTATGCATGGGGAGCACTGCAGCATTTGAATGCAACCCTGGGGTTTTCTGGCCCCGCCTCTGTCCCCTACTATAAATGTGCCTTAGCCTGAGCCTTTCAGCTGCACCAGCACTGCCTGGTGTGGGATGGGGCCCAGGAAGCAAACTTCCCCTCTCCTTCTCTACTGGCCCAGAAGCCAGGTCGTGGTGGGAGGGGCTTGCTCCTTAGGAGACCCTACGCCTGCCTTCCTCTCTTTGCTCCACCTGAGGCCTGTTGTTGCTGCTGGGGGCAGCCTGCTCATGCCAGGGGCTGGGAATGAGACGAGGCTGCAGTGTTCTTTCTAGGAGAGTCACTTTATTGACAGGAAAGGGCCTGGTTCCTCAGCCCAGCAGGGTCTGAGTGTGAGGTCTGGTAACAGAATTTCAGGAGAGGGGCCTGTAAGACCACCCGCCCTTCCCGATCTCTCTGCAGGGGCCCCAGACAGGGCTGCGGGGTGGCCCAGCCAAAGCCTGCACAGGAGCTTCACAGAACAAAGGGCAACCGGTCTGCCTGGGGACTGGAGCCAATAAATTATGGTCAGAAAATCACAGAGCCTGGTGATTGGGGCTCAGGGACACCAGCTGGGACAGACCTGCCCCCAAGGGGGCAGCCAGGCAGGCGGGAGGGGTCTCCCACGAAGCTCAGAAGAAGGGTCTGGCGGGAGCCGATGGAGGTGGTCGCCTGGGCGTAAGAGAAAAATCAGAAAGCAAAGTTTAACTGCGTCCCCTGCTGGGCCAGAAGGCCTGGGGCTGAGAGGGGGCCTGTCCACTGCACAACTTGGGATAGAGGGCCAGGAGTCCCTCTCTCTTCAGTGATTCCAATGCCTGCCCCGGGGAGGGGTGGGGTGGGAAGGTGAGGGGTTGGGGGGGTGGGGGTGGTGTGTGTGTGTGTGTGTGTGTGTGTGTGTGTCGGAGAATATGTGCCCCCACTCCTGAGGTGTTAAGGAAAGCAAAAGCTCTCCTCTGTATAGCATGGATTCCTCCAGAAGTGAAACTTCCCCACAAGAGCAGAGCCCCTATGAGTGAGGTGTGCAGGAGCATATGCTGGGAAGGGTGGGTTCCTCTTCAGAGGCCTCCTGGAAGAAGATAGCAGCCCACGTCCTCAGCCTGAACACCAACACAAAAGGCCCACAACAGCAGCCACCAGAAGCTTCTTCCCTTTATTTTAGTTTATTAATAGGATACAGAGTGCAGGCACTTACAGTGGTCAAACCGAGCGAGGAGCGAGCGAGATCTGCTCAGAGAGTGGCCACCGGGGGCCCACCCTCTGGGGGAGGCCTGGGTGGGAGCCGAGAGGCCCCCACAGCCTCCCCACCCACTCAGCCCTGAGCCCAAGCCACCCTGGAGACCCAGCAGGAGGAGGGGGCCTCGGGAGGAGAAAGACAGCGAGGCCAGCAGAGCTGAGGTTCCGGACCTGGCAAAGGCACCTCCGGCAGCCAAGGCTGGGCCGTGTGGTTAATACGGCCGAGGAAGGAATATGTACAACTCGGGCACGGCAGGCAGTGCTGGGCCCACTGGGCCTGGCTTGCCACTGCACGTTCCCGCTGCTGAGAATAGGACACACTCCTGCGCCCCAGCAAGGACTGGGCATAGGTGCCCTTGGTGCCCAGCTTCCAGAAGGCCTGGTCTACTTAGGCTTTCTAGTCCAGAGAAGCCCCTGGGTGAGTCCCTCCTGTCCCAAGCTGGGATCCCTTATTCAAGATGATGCTCAGGGTGCAGTTCCCTCCTCTGCTACCTGAGGCCCCATCCCCCAAAGTGCAACACCCCGGTTACCCTGCCCCAGGGCCCCTTCATTCAGTGCTGTGTCCAGCTGGGGATGGGGGCCAGGCCAGCCCCTGACTAGGCCAGGGTTAGGAAAGCCAGGGAGACTGGTCGTGGCACAGGAATGGGAGGGTCAGGGGTGTGGAGGGGCCCAGACCACTGAAGCTCCTGCACCGAGGGTGCACAAGGACCCCCGAGAACATGCCCCCCCGTAGCCTAGTCGAGCAGGGATGGCTCGGCTGGGCGGATAATGGTAGGCCGGCTGGGTGCAGCCGGGGGTCTTCTGCTGCAAAGAGAATAAAGACAGACAGGGAGGGGGAGATGGTAGTGAGGCCAGAAGCAGGGCAACAATGAGGACCCAGGCTCCACCACCCCGCCCCAGGGCGCGTGCTCTCTGCTAGATGCTCTCAAGGCTGTCAGGAAGGAGTTTCCCAAGCCCAGGCATTGGTACCCCAATGGTGTTATTTGTTCCGTGACCCCGGGCAAGTCCCCCACCCTCTCTGGACCTCAGGTTCCTCATGGGAGAAGTGGGGAGAGCCTGGCCTGCAGGGTTGAGAGAGGCAGGGCAGAACTGTGTCATAATAGACATGTGGTGTCTTCAGTAAGAAAGCAAAAGCCAAAAACCAGAAGAGTCCCCGTGTGAGAGGTTCTAAGCTGCGTGGTAAGCCCACCTGTTCAGGTGGAGGACAGGCCTGGAGCCCGAGTCACCCAACTCTACTACTCCATGACTTTGGGCAAGTGACTTGGCCTCTCCGGACCTCAGTTTCCCCACCAGTCAAATGGAGATGCTGGTGACTCAGCTCCCTGCAGGGCGCAGGCCGGTGGGTCTAGATGGCAGGCGGGGTGGTGGTGGTGGGGGCAGGGGGGTGGCCAGACTTACCTGGGCACTCCAGGGGGGATGCCAGGTGGAATCCGAATGGGCCGAGATGGGATCTGAGGCGGGGCCGAGAAGGGGTCATTATTGGCAAACACGCTCTGGGGTCCGGGCCGGGATGGGATGGGGGGCGCTGAGAAGGAGGCTGCTGCCCCCACCGGCACGGGCATCAACGC